TACTGAGAGTGATGACAGTAATGTGGTGAGTACTGATAGAAATCAGTGTGTGAGACCATACTGAGAGTGATGACACTTAGTAATGTGGTGAGTATACTGATAGAAATCAGTGTGTGAGACCGTACTGAGAGTGATGACACTGAGTAATGTGGTGAGTACTGATAGAAGTCAGTGTGTGAGACCATACTGAGAGAGTGATGACACTGAGTAATGTGGTGAGTACTGATAGAAGTCAGTGTGTGAGACCATACTGAGAGTGATGACACTTAGTAATGTGGTGAGTACTGATAGAAATCAGTGTGTGAGACCATACTGAGAGTGATGACACTTAGTAATGTGGTGAGTACTGATAGAAATCAGTGTGTGAGACCTTACTGAGAGTGATGACACTTAGTAATGTGGTGAGTACTGATAGAAATCAGTGTGTGAGACCATACTGAGAGTGATGACACTTAGTAATGTGGTGAGTATACTGATAGAAGTCAGTGTGTGAGACCATACTGAGAGTGATGACACTGAGTAATGTGGTGAGTACTGATAGAAATCAGTGTGTGAGACCGTACTGAGAGTGATGACACTTAGTAATGTGGTGAGTACTGATAGAAGTCAGTGTGTGAGACCATACTGAGAGTGATGACACTTAGTAATGTGGTGAGTATACTGATAGAAGTCAGTGTGTGAGACCGTACTGAGAGTGATGACACTTAGTAATGTGGTGAGTACTGATAGAAGTCAGTGTGTGAGACCGTACTGAGAGTGATGACACTTAGTAATGTGGTGAGTACTGATAGAAATCAGTGTGTGAGACCGTACTGAGAGTGATGACACTTAGTAATGTGGTGAGTACTGATAGAAATCAGTGTGTGAGACCGTACTGAGAGTGATGACACTTAGTAATGTGGTGAGTACTGATAGAAATCAGTGTGTGAGACCGTACTGAGAGTGATGACACTTAGTAATGTGTGTGAGTATACTGAGTGATGACACTTAGTAATGTGGTAAGATAGAAACCGTAGAAGTAGTGTGGTGAGTACTGATAGAAATCAGTGTGTGAGACCGTACTGAGAGTGATGACACTTAGTAATGTGGTGAGTACTGATAGAAGTCAGTGTGTGAGACCATACTGAGAGTGATGACACTTAGTAATGTGGTGAGTATACTGATAGAAATGACACAGTGTGTATACAGAAATCAAGTGCCAGACCATACTGAGAGTGATGACACTTAGTAATGTGGTGAGTACTGATAGAAATCAGTGTGTGAGACCATACTGAGAGTGATGACACTTAGTAATGTGGTGAGTACTGATAGAAATCAGTGTGTGAGACCATACTGAGAGTGATGACACTTAGTAATGTGGTGAGTATACTGATAGAAATCAGTGTGTGAGACCATACTGAGAGTGATGACACTTAGTAATGTGGTGAGTACTGATAGAAATCAGTGTGTGAGACCATACTGAGAGTGATGACACTTAGTAATGTGGTGAGTATACTGATAGAAATCTGATACTGAGAGTGATGACACTGAGTAATGTGGTGAGTACTGATAGAAATCAGTGTGTGAGACCATACTGAGAGTGATGACACTTAGTAATGTGGTGAGTATACTGATAGAAATCAGTGTGTGAGACCATACTGAGAGTGATGACACTTAGTAATGTGGTGAGTACTGATAGAAGTCAGTGTGTGAGACCATACTGAGAGTGATGACACTTAGTAATGTGGTGAGTATACTGATAGAAATCAGTGTGTGAGACCATACTGAGAGTGATGACACTTAGTAATGTGGTGAGTATACTGATAGAAGTCAGTGTGTGAGACCATACTGAGAGTGATGACAGTAATGTGGTGAGTACTGATAGAAGTCAGTGTGTGAGACCGTACTGAGAGTGATGACACTTAGTGATGTGGTGAGTACTGATAGAAGTCAGTGTGTGAGACCGTACTGAGAGTGATGACACTTAGTGATGTGGTGAGTACTGATAGAAATCAGTGTGTGAGACCGTACTGAGAGTGATGACACTTAGTAATGTGGTGAGTATACTGATAGAAATCAGTGTGTGAGACCGTACTGAGAGTGATGACACTTAGTAATGTGGTGAGTATACTGATAGAAATCAGTGAGTGAGACCATACTGAGAGTGATGACACTTAGTAATGTGGTGAGTACTGATAGAAGTCAGTGTGTGAGACCGTACTGAGAGTGATGACACTTAGTAATGTGGTGAGTACAGATAGAAATCAGTGTGTGAGACCATACTGAGAGTGATGACACTTAGTAATGTGGTGAGTATACTGATAGAAATCAGTGAGTGAGACCATACTGAGAGTGATGACACTTAGTAATGTGGTGAGTACTGATAGAAGTCAGTGTGTGAGACCGTACTGAGAGTGATGACACTTAGTAATGTGGTGAGTACAGATAGAAATCAGTGTGTGAGACCGTACTGAGAGTGATGACACTTAGTAATGTGGTGAGTACTGATAGAAATCAGTGAGTGAGACCATACTGAGAGTGATGACACTTAGTAATGTGGTGAGTATACTGATAGAAATCAGTGTGTGAGACCGTACTGAGAGTGATGACACTTAGTAATGTGGTGAGTACTGATAGAAATCAGTGTGTGAGACCGTACTGAGAGTGATGACACTTAGTAATGTGGTGAGTACTGATAGAAATCAGTGAGTGAGACCATACTGAGAGTGATGACACTTAGTAATGTGGTGAGTACTGATAGAAATCAGTGAGTGAGACCATACTGAGAGTGATGACACTTAGTAATGTGGTGAGTACAGATAGAAATCAGTGTGTGAGACCATACTGAGAGTGATGACACTTAGTAATGTGGTGAGTACTGATAGAAATCAGTGAGTGAGACCATACTGAGAGTGATGACACTTAGTAATGTGGTGAGTATACTGATAGAAATCAGTGTGTGAGACCGTACTGAGAGTGATGATACTTAGTAATGTGGTGAGTACTGATAGAAATCAGTGTGTGAGACCGTACTGAGAGTGATGACACTTAGTAATATGGTGAGTATACTGATAGAAATCAGTGTGTGAGACCATACTGAGAGTGATGACACTGAGTAATGTGGTGAGTATACTGATAGAAGTCAGTGTGTGAGACCATACTGAGAGTGATGACACTTAGTAATGTGGTGAGTATACTGATAGAAATCAGTGTGTGAGACCGTACTGAGAGTGATGACACTGAGTAATGTGGTGAGTACTGATAGAAATCAGTGTGTGAGACCGTACTGAGAGTGATGACACTTAGTAATGTGGTGAGTACTGATAGAAATCAGTGTGTGAGACCGTACTGAGAGTGATGACACTTAGTAATGTGGTGAGTACTGATAGAAATCAGTGTGTGAGACCATACTGAGAGTGATGACACTTAGTAATATGGTGAGTATACTGATAGAAATCAGTGTGTGAGACCGTACTGAGAGTGATGACACTTAGTAATATGGTGAGTATACTGATAGAAATCAGTGTGTGAGACCGTACTGAGAGTGATGATACTCAGTAATGTGGTGAGTACAGATAGAAATCAGTGTGTGAGACCGTACTGAGAGTGATGACACTTAGTAATATGGTGAGTATACTGATAGAAATCAGTGTGTGAGACCGTACTGAGAGTGATGATACTCAGTAATGTGGTGAGTACTGATAGAAATCAGTGTGTGAGACCGTACTGAGAGTGATGACACTTAGTAATGTGGTGAGTACCAATAAAACACAGAGTTTGATAATATCCTTGGTAATGTGGTGAGTACCAATAAAAACAGAGTTTGAGACTATCCTTGGTAATGTGGTGAATACCAATGTAAAATATTTGTGTATTGACAAATGTTTTTTGCAGATGGTGACATCTTGTGGAATGAAGGCTTTATATAGCCTCTTTAATGGAAATCCCAGGGTTACTACACTGAACGCAGAACTGAATGCACAAATGATCAAAGTAGGTTTAGAAACCCATGTACATGTTTTATAACCACGCAATACATTGATGTACGGTCCATAAGGCCGTCAATCAGCTGTCAATTATGTCTGTATTTGTATTTTGTAGGCTTTGTATGAATACCAACCTTCAAATAATGATGTACAGCCAATGAAGGCGTGGCTAGCAGTAATGGAGGCAGCACATAAGAATCTGACGAGGTAAACAGTCATTAGTGTTCCCATGAGACAAATCAGGTTTAAGGCCTAAAGAAAATAAATAACTTGATTCTCAGGCCAGTTTTGTCACGAACAAATAGGGGAAGCAGGTTTTTTTCTTTATACTTCATAAACACAGGCACCAGCTTTTAGATTTTTTTTATAATTTCAAAAATTATAAATTTTTGTCCCGAAATGCTTCAATATTGAGTGTAGAAATGGGAATAAAAAGGTAGTTACAGTATTACAGAAAAAAAAAATTCTTTTTGGTCGCTGATTATTTTGTGGTGAATTTCAGACTGGATGAGAAGCTCTGTCTTGGACACCTACCCCGTTTCTTTTCTGTGTGTATGACATGTCTTCTGTCTGAGAAAGCCGAGGTCAACTCTAGTGCCGCAAAAACCATGAAGGTCTGTATATCTGATCTGTCTATTGTAGTACTCTATACAGGGTTATTCTTGCCCCCATGTTATTTTCGCCCTTTCACACTTGTAAACAAATTTGCCCCATTTTGAATTTGTTTTAGAATTATAATACTGTATTCTTTGAATTCGTCCTGTTTTTAATTCCCCCAAATAAGGGTTGGGAGGAAGGGGCAAAATAAAATGGAGGTGAAAATTGGATAGTTTGCATCCCGGGAAGAATGATCAAGAAATCAAATAAACTAATTTTCAGAGTTGTCGCAGAGAAATGAAATGAAAATAAAAAATAAAGCATTATTAATCAATGTAACAGGAGCTGCTAAGAGCCTGCCTGGCCCCTACTGTAGAGGGCGCTAAACAAGTGACATCATCAAGTGCTAATACACCTGTCCACAAGATCGTGAAAGCTCTAGAGACAGGACTAGGGTACCAGTTTCATGCTGCCTGGGGACTAGTCATGCAAGTCTTTGCTGTATTGTTTGAGGTTGGTTTCTTGACATAGTTTTTGTTTCTTCTTACTGTTTTCTTTATAATATAATTATCTGTTCATATTTAGAATAATTCATGGCAAAATGAAAATATTTTATTGTTTTTGTCACATATATTACTTGATTTAAATTAATAGAGGATTTACATTTTAGGTTGTTGGTAAGGAATGCCCATCACTTTTCAAGAAGGTAATTTTTTTATACATGTAACTAAATTAATTAATGATGATGTAAACTGTAATTTAATTAGCACACTAAAACATAATGTTGAAGGTAGCATAAAGCTTGAAAGTGAGGAACATAAAAACCTGAAGGTGGTTTGTGTGTGGAAAAGTTTTAACTGTGAATGCAGCTTATTGGATGTATATACCTACACCTTTGTATTTTTGAATCAGTAAAATATTTCAGTAGCGTATCATTCTAATGGATACTCAATTTTTTTCAGAGTTTATTATCAATAGCCAATCTTAGAGACAGTCCTAGGTTTCCTTATAAAGCGGAGTTGGACCATGCTGTCGGTGCTGCTATTAAGTATCTGGGGCCTCGTCATGTGTTAGAAGCTGTGCCTCTGAATATTACCGGCGACGAGTAAGGCTTTTGAATTTGAAAAGAATTAAAGTGGGCAGTATTTTGTCCCTGTGCTCAAGCTTGATTTATTTTAAATTTGTACTTGTTAATCTGGAGAAATGATTTGATTTTTAACACTACATGACTGAATAATATTTATTCATAGACATTAAGATGAATCATATGAAATGATACAAATGGAAGTTTGAATAATATGAAAGGATTTGGAAAATTGCATTAATTGTCAAAGTTTTTAAACATTTATATTTATTTGTTCAAAAGTAATGTTTATTTGTTTTGTATAATGTCTTATACCTTCCATTTTGGAAATTTTTATTGTTTTTTAACTTTCAGTGATGACTACAGTTTTCCCCGGAGTTGGTTACTTCCTGTCATAAGAGACAACGTGTGCAATACAGAGTTAGGGTTCTTTACAGCGTATTTCCTTCCACTGGCTGCAAAACTCAGACAAAGATGTAAGAAATAAGCTTATTTGTTGTATTTCTGAAAAAATCAAGAATTGGATTAGTGAAGACTTATTTTTATGGTACATATATATGAAATTTACATTTAATGATAATGAGTAGTGAAACACTTTGTTAAAGTGGATATTTTTATTTGTCTTGACAGCTCTGGAGGCAGAGTCTACAGGTAACCAGGTGGTTTGTAAATCGTATGATGCTCTACAGCGACAGATCTGGTCCCTGTTACCGGGATTCTGTACCCAGCCCATGGATCTTGCACAGGCAAAAATTATTTCTCTTGTTTCTGTGCCTGTATTGCATATTGTTAAAAATCTTTGTCACCCCACTTTTGTGAAAGCATGGGACATTAAAGTTTATTTTACCACACATAGCTGTATGTCCGTCAGCCACAAAAAGTACAACCTTTGTGAAATTTTGAATGTGAAAAGATAGAGCTTGCATATTTTATACAACCCACAATCTGTAATCGAGATATTTAAAAACAGCTTGTAGAGGAAAAAAGTTTACAGTATTGGTGACATTTTATGTATATTATAATACACACATAGGTATCTCATCCCATATTTAAAAAAAAACAAAAAAGGATTTTAAAAAGGGGGTTGAGGGAGGGGGCAGAGGTCAACACCATACATGCCTGTGCTTGACCTTGAAATTGGATCTTTCTCTTCTGTTTTAGTCATTCAAGGGAATCTGTAAAATTCTTGGGTCTGCCATCAGTGACCGAGATGATCTTAGGACTGAAGTCATGTCTGGTCTCCGGAAACTCATCAACAAGAGCAAAGAAGAGGGTAAGTTATCAAACATGTTACTGTACACTTAACAGCAGCAAGGAAAATGAGAATAAGTTATTCAGTTAACTTTACACTTTTAAGACAGCAACAAATTTTAGAAAATGTGAGACTTGACAGTTTTTATTGTTTTCAATTGATTGTCCTTTAGAAAAGGAAGGGATTAAATTCAATATCTGTAATTGCACAGATGTAGTACATGAATTTATAAAATGTTAAGGTGAAAGTTTAGTAATTTTCTAAAAGGATCGAGGCTGTGACATACAGTACAAAGGTACTTGTAAAGATTTTGCTATGATGTCAAAAACATCCAAACTACAAAGACATTTAATTTTTATACTCCTATGGTTACAAAAGAGAATAACATTTCATTGTTACAAAAGAGATTATTATTTAATTTTTATACGTCTGTGATTAAGAAGAGAGTAAGAGAGAGGTGGGTCGATTCGCCAAGAATTTCCTCCCCATTTTGTTTAACCTGTTCACAACGGAGCCAGAGAACACCAAAGACACGGCTCGCCTGGCTGTCCTGGAAACCATCAAAACCTACCTACAGATAGCAGACACCACAGTGAGTGATAGACTTCTAACAACCAGTATTTTTCCTATGAACTGGCTACCGGTCAAATTGACTGCTTCAATTGAAAAAAATGCCGCTTTCAAATAAAAAAAAATCAAAATTTAAATGTAAGGTCCATGAAGATTTAGTTCATAAACATCAGCCCCTAGCATGTATAACTAATCTTTAACCCTCTACTTTGAAATAAAAGGAAAATACTGTACAACTAAACATCATGCTTAAAAAGAAAAGTGTTGTACTGAAATTCTAGGAAAAGTTATAGTTATAGCATATATGTAGAAGAAATTCCATTGAGTTTGAGATAATGAGGTTTGACTGTTTATTAGTTTACAATAATCATGTGATGTATGAAATATCTGTTTTCCTATATATGACTGTGACTGGGAAAAAGTGGCCAGATGCGGCAAACGTCATCATGGTCATAATGAGAAATTAGCGATAGTTCTGAACGTTTTCTTCTCAATCGAAAAAAAAAAAAAATTGAGAAAAAAATTATGCAGAAGATCTACATGTGTTTATTTCTGTCTTTTTCTTTCAGTTGGTCAATTCATTCTGTGATAAATGTAGAGAGAAAATCCATGAAGAGGGGGTTTCACCCTTTAAAAGGTCTGTACTGATCAAATTAATTGTATTTAATACAGAATATAGTGAAACTAGTTAGTCAGGATAATGGTCAATTTGTTCCATTCATTTTTATCAATTGACACAGAGTTCATGTCATCTAGAGATATTGTTGAAATCTTTCAGACATGCTCTGATGGATCTTCTACTCGTGATGTTACCAGTGGTGGATCAAACAAGGGTGGAAGCAATTTTCAATGTGACAACTCCATTTCTCTCTGTAAGTACACAGAATAGCATTTCAGATATCAGAAAGAGATAAAGATTTCATGATAAATAGCATTTATTTATATTCTGTACATTGTCAAATGGAATTTTGCCAATATGGAAATTAATGTTGACGAAATTGACAAATCTCTAATATTTATTGAAGTTTTGACTCATCATCTTTCACATTCAAGTTTCAACTTGCCATTTTTCTAATGTATTGAAATTGTCAAACTTTTTATCCCCTCAATATACATGTCACCACTTTAACAGTCTGTTCAAATTATGAAAATTGGCATAATAAAAAAACTTAATGAGGTTTAATGTTGGGAGATTTGTTTTTGGGAGAGAGCAGTCTGACTTGCACATTGTTTGTAGCGACATTTCTTATTGTAAAGTCACGCTTCTTTGTTTTCAGGACATGGATAAGACATTACAAAAGAAGTGTTACCGAATCTTAGAGGAGTTATGTAGCAGCTCTTCAAGAGCCTGTCAGGCATTTGTTACAGAGAATCTGTCAACCATACAGGAAGTCCTGCTAGATTCCCTGTCTACATCTAGTCCTTCCTCTAAAGCAGTGAGTATCGCATTCTACTCTGAGTAGTTTGTTAGGGAAAATCTGTCAACTATTCAGAGGGTCATGCTAGATTCCCTGTCTACATCTAGTCCTTCTTCTAAAGCAGTGAGTATTACATTCTACCTGAAGTGTTGTTCCATTTACTCATATACACCAAATACTTCTGTCGTTGTCTCAAGTTTTACAAGAATATTTAAGATTTAGCATGCTAGAATATGCAGAGTTTCATGTACATATAAATCTGTGTGTAATACAAACTAAAAGGATGATTTTGAAATTTTCAGCCTCGTCTCCGTTGTTTAATCAACATTTTCAAAGTACTGAAGGAGGAGGAGAAAGATTTCCTGTTGGCGGTTGTACCAGAGGTAAACATCTGATACATGTATATATATAATGGAACAACACATATATACATACATCTGATACATGTATATATACAAAAGTCTAGAGTGAATAACTTCACTATATTAAGAAACTTTTGTTAATAAGAAAAAAGTCACTTGTTTCCAATACCATAAACACAATCTTGCATTATAAAAAAGAGTGTATCATAATGAAACTTCTAGTTCTGTCTATATTTGTTTGAAATCAGATTTTGTGTATTGATCTAAATGATAATTTGTGATATAATGCTATCATGACAATCTCTTTCGTCCAGGCCATTCTGTGTACCAAGGAGATAGGAGAAAAGGCGCGATCAGCATCCTACCAACTACTGGTGGAAATGGGCCATGCCAAGATGAGATGGAATCAAAACGAAAATGGTCTGCACTTGCTTTTCACATGATAGTAACCATTAGAAAAAAAAAATGATCAAATTTGAAATTGTAAAGATTTTTTTTTATGTTAATACAGTGAAAGCTGTCTAATCCAAAATGCAATGGGAAGACAAATTTTGTGATCGAATAGACAGGGTGTCAGATTGTCAGTGTAAAGAAAATGTGGAAAATAGTAAAATGGGAAAGAAAATAATCATCGGAATTTACTGTGTTACGAATGCAGGTGTTAGATCAGACAGTTTTCATTGAATTACTGATAAAGTCTAATTTCCTAGTAACTACGTACATTTAGATGTACATGTAATTGATTAACAAGATATCCAACATGTTCCTTACTTTCCTTTGCTTACAGAGGCATTAGAGGACTACTTCCAGATGGTGATGGCAGGACTTGGGGGTTCCCCTCAGATGGTCAGCTCCACCCTCCTGGCCCTGACCAGGATTCTCTACGAGTTCAAAGGTCAGTTTACCAGCTGCTGATTTGTCCTTATATTCACAGAAGCTTATTATAAAATTATGTGTCATTGACCATTAATGTTCCTCCTTACGCAGCCTCCATCAGCCCACCATTACTGGAGACGATTGTGGATCAGCTGTGTTTGCTGCTGACGTCTAAGACAAGGGAGGTGGTTAAGGCGGCCCTGGGCTTTATGAAGGTCCTGTTATCAGCTTACCCTGACACTGTGCTGGCTCCACACCTAAAGCAGATCGTGAGTATATGTCATACTCAGAGAAATCAAGTTACTGTAGGTTACTTATTATATACGAGTACTTATTATGGTGAAATGACTCTTTAACGTCAAATCATGAGAATAATAATTTGTGAATGGATGGTTTATCAAGAGATTTAAGTAGATTTCAGAACCATAAAAATAAAAGTGAGTGATTTTATTTCACCAGTGGTGCTTCTCACGAAATTAGGCAATACTTTATTTCACGCATATATTTAGGAATCTACAGTAACCACAGGTACATGTATATGCTATTACTACTGATATACGATTTGTTATTGTGTAGATATTTGAAATTATGAAATGAAGAACTTGAAGATGCTAGATTTTGAAAATAATATGATACTTGTGTACCTTATACCTACATGTACTTTGTCATTTTTTTGTGTTTATGAATATGTTAAAAGATTGTTCAAAATAATTTTATTAAAATTTGTCAATTTAATGATACATGTATATAAAGAAAGTTATGCAAATATATATAACTATAAACGCTGCATTCCTTTTCATTTGTAGATGTCCAGTCTTGTTTCACAAAAGGAGGACTTCAAGCATCATTTTAGGTTCAAGGCCAAAGAAATTTACGCTAAACTCATCAAGAAATTTGGGTAAAGCTTTCAATTTTTTTTTTTTCACGTATTATTGGTACATCTGAACCAAATGCAAAGGCCCAAGTGAAGTTTGCTGATCAAGATTTTTTCTCTGTCAGTATTTGAAGTTCATTAGCTAGTCAAATTTGTGTCATTCGCTCTTGAACTGATACTCCAAATTCAACCAAACTTTGCAAAAATTTGTTTTTAAGGCCATATAAAATTGAAATCTTGGTTCTCAGGCCCGCGCGCATCCGTTTTGAGGTAGCCGCATTGCCGATTTTATTGAATTTTAAAATAAAAAGTTGGTATTGCAGAGACCAATCCGGGAAAAAAATCCGACCTCATTTGTTTCGTAGTTTAGTATTCAAATATCACTTCCGGTATCCATTTACAATGAGATTTTGGCTACTTCGTTTGAAAATACATTCGAGGACATTACCTATTGTTTACACGCTGTTAAGCTGTGGATAAAGCAGAAATTTTGACCAGAAATGGAAAGTATATCTGTGATAAAAAAAATATCTTTATGTTAAAGAAAATTCGGAAATTAAAGTTAAAAAAAAATACCTCCCTCATCTACTTTATTGCCAATAAAATGAAAAATAAAATGCCGCCCTCCCGCATCTGTTTTGGAGAAAATAGGCCTGAGAACCAGGGAATTAAATTTAGATAGCCTAGAGAAAAGCTATGTCTCTTTCCAAGGGAGGTAATCAAGAGAAGGCAAAAATATAGAAGCCTTTGACGATTGACCACTCCTTTTACAAGGAGGACAAAAAAATTAGATGCATCTGATTTTGATATACCCATTACATTTGTGTTTACTCGTTAATTACATAATGTCATGACTATTTTTAAATTTCTTTAGAGCATAAGCAAATTTCTAAAGCTTTATAAAGTAATCTGACCAGAAATTAAAAAAAATTAAAAGAAGAAAGATTCATTAAGATGAGGACATAATTCTCATGTCACACATTTATTTTTTCCATTTTAGATATGAGACAATCTTTGGTATGTCACCTCCCAGCATCCACAAGGTACTGGTAAACATAAAGAAGACTCAGGAGAGGGCGAAGAAGAAGAAGAAGGAGAGAGACAGTGACTCTGAAGAAGACAGTGACCAGGAACACTTCAGATCTCAACCTGAAAGGTATATCATGATTTATTTTTTAGCTCTACTGGTCAGAGACCAGAAGAGCTTATGCGATAGTAATGCGTCCGTCGTCCGTCCGTCTGTCTGTCTGTCTGTAAACAATTTTTCAAAATGCTACTCCTATTACAGTTTTGGTCCGATTTCAATATAACTTGGCACACAAGTAGACTACACTAAGATACATAATTCTGTGCATCAGTTTTTGATTTCGATGAACGGTGTTGCCATGGTTACTAAAAATAGAAATTTCTGTGAAATTTTATTTTAAATTCTACTCGTCCACCAGTTTTGTTCTGATTTCAATATAATGTGGCACACAAGTAGACTACACTAAGATACATAATTCTGTGCATCGGTTTTTGATTTTGATGAACAGTGTTTCCATGGTTGCTAAAAATAGAAATTTCTGTGAAATTCTTTCAAATGCTACTCCTCCTTTAGTTTTGGTCCGATTTTAATATAACTTGGCACACAAGTAGACTACACTAAGATACATAATTCTGTGCATCAGTTTTTATTTTGTTGAGTGTCAAGGATCATTTTTCTATTGATTCCTGTTTTGAAGTCTCAAGTCACAACTGCTACTTTTCTCTTCCTTTGTTTTAAGTATAAACCAGTAGAGCTACAGTCTCGACAGAGACTTCTGGTTATCAATTTTATATCAGTTGGTCAATTAACATATTGTTGAGAAGTGTCACAATTGATCATGAATGTGTTGGCTGCTACAACTTGATGTACATATTATATAAAGCATATAATACATGTATATGCATATTATGTTTGTTGTTATGCTGTTGAATTTACATAGATACCAACCTTGGCATTTTTTGTATGATTCAGTGTGGACGACCTTCTGAGGGACACAGACTCAGAGGATGAGACAGAAACAAAATCCAAACGTAAACCAAGGGAAAAAACTCAGGCTAAGCTGGCCTGGTTACAAGAGGGAGGGGACATCATGGATTTCCTGGACCCAACAGCCTCCAAAAAAGTTCTCGGTAAAACCACTTTGACTTAATTGCTATCAAATTCTACAGAATCTTTACAGGCATGACTTCATTGCTATCAAATTCTAAAGGATTTAAAAAATAAGAAAAAAATCAATGATTGTTTCATTCGGTAGATTATGTTGCAAAACAGAGTCAACGTAAAAATTTACATACATGTACATCATGTTTTATCTACAATTTCTCTTAGCTACCAAACCAGAAGAGAAGAAAGACGTGAAGAAGAGAGAAGCTGCATTTAAGACAGCTCCTGATGGTCGTCTGATTATAACAGAGTCCAGTGATGAAGAAGGTACCCAACAATAGAAAAATCGGACAAGTGTTTATAATTATATTCAGTACTGGGAGAGATGCAATAGGCTCTAAAGAATCCTCAGACAGTGTAGATTTAAGTTTGTTCAAATTATGGACATAATAGGATAGGGAGACACAATATGAGATCAAAGATTGAAATTTCAAAGTTTCTTAAGTACATGAGACCCATACAGTTGTTAAAGAGCAGGGCCTTGATTACTTGTTGAGCATTGTTGTTGTTTTGCCTTTTAGTTACTCTCTTGTCTTCAATGATTTTAGGTCCAGAGAAAATGGGAGAAGATGACGATGACCTTGAAGATTTGTTGAAGGCCATTGAGCAGGGAGCTGGAAATGTCAAGGTAAATAATATTTCAAGGTACTGTAGATTCCTTATTCTTCAGGAGTACTTATTATCACAATATTCCTCTTTAACGTCAAATTGTGAGAATATTTATTAGATTTTGATAAAAAGAATTTACATGGATTTCAGGACCATAAAAAAAACCAAGAAATTTTAATTGGCGAGTGATGCTTCTCGCGGAATTACAGGAATATAATAAATTCCTCTTTTAATAAGAAATTGTCAGTAAGACAAGTCAGAGACTTTTGGTTGAGATATAGGGCATTTTTCCGGGAAATAAAATGAGGGATTTTTTTAATATAGCAGAAAACAAAGAAGAGGAAGATAGAAGATTTAGGTTCAGATGATGAGGCATCAGCACCAAAATATAAAGGTTATAAATAAAATTTATTTAACATAGACTCTGTTCTAGTAATTATTAACTTTTCCAGATAATTGTTAGTTTATTTCCATACTTAAAGTTTTCTAGCATCAAAGCATTAAAAATGCTTAGATACAGATGAGAAGATATTAACTGAAAGTTTGAAAAAGTACATGCATTAACTTCAAATCTGTGTTTATTTAGCTTTAAACAAATTGTTTCTTTATTTAAAATTTCCTGAATTCCTCTTGATTTCCCTTCATTGGTATATAATAATGTAATGATTATTCCATATTAGCTGGAGGAGGGGGTATACACAGACCGCTAGCCAAAGCCAAAAGGTCAGCTCCCCAGGAAGCTGGCAGTGAATACAGAGCCAAGAAAGCGGGAGGGGACATCAAGAAGTCTGGAAGACCAGATCCTTACGCTTATCTTCCTCTGAACTTCCAAGCTCTCAACAAGAGGTAAAGAAAATTTTAAAGGCTTTAGCATTGTGTGCTTGTAGGTGTGATCAAGGTATGAAGGACACAGGATAAACTTTAAACAAGCTAATTAAGAGAATTTGTGTCCTCTGCTTAAGGGAAAAAGAATGAAAAACTTAGATCTAGAAGTAGGTGGGGGGGGTGGGAATCAGGACACATAAAGAGGTGCAGGAGATTACTCGGAATTGGAAAGTCTTGAAAATTTATGATTTTGACCTCAAAATGAATAGTCTTCCTTAGGCCAAAGGAAGTAGTGGTACAAAATATTGGAAAAGATGAAATATTTCCAGATATATTGCACGGAAAGAAAAGATTTTGAACAGACAAAATTAAAAAAAAAAATCGATGACTGACATTTTGTTTGTCAAATTTTAATTTTCTGCCCAATATCTCACGAAATCCTTGAGGTTTTAAAATAAAATTTTACATAACTCCTTTTGGTGCTATGGCAGGGCTCATTGAATATACATGTATGGTGAGCACAAGAATTGATATAAATATCCAGTTTGCAAGATGTTTTGCAAAAAGAAATACTGTGAAACATTGAAAAATTTTTTTTTGCATTTTTTTTAGGAAAAAAGCAAAGATGTCGGGGCGTTTTACAAACTTGGTGAAGGGAGCAAAGAAAGGCGCTAAAAAGGGATTTAAAGGAAAGAAAAAGCCTTGATAATTTATTGACATAACATACAGGACTAAAAATGTTTATTGTTGGATTGTTTCCTTGTTTACAAAATGATTATTGTTTTTAAAATCACTTATTGAAATAATATAATGATATATTTGTGAAAAGGCAAGTATGACAATATTCAAATGAAACTGTAAAGTTTGTGGATTTTATCAAATATGAAATTGATAAAAAGTACTGTAAATGCAGAACATTTGCATAAAAAATTCATGATTTATATAAAAGAAAAACAATTGATAAAATATATAAATACTGAAAGAGATACTCATCTGATTATTGAATAGTTTGAAATTGCAAACACTAAAATACCATAAAAGAATGATATAATGGTTTGCTTTATTTAATTAAGGAACAAATGTCAAATTTTTTGGTTTCATGATGTGATCATGCAATTGATTGGCTTGCGTGAAAATTTGCATATATGCTGAATCCTTCAATACATTCAGGGTTCATCACTCTCAGTTGATTCGATATGCAAGTGCATGCTCTACGTATGAACAATTTCTAAAACGGGGTAAATTAGTCGCAAAAAAGTTGATGAAACAAATTTAAATCTATCAGCAGTCTCTTTAAAGTCATCATTTCGTAAGTTCTGTGGTCGATTCAATGACTTTTGCTGCAAACACAATTTATGATTGAGTCAAATGCTGTCCGACGTTTTTCATACTAATTGTTAGTCCATTATTATGATTTGCTGGTAAACAGAAGAAGAATTAATTTTATACACTGAATTGACGACAAATTTTTCTGTTATTCTGTTTCCCAATCATGACAAGGAGCACACAGCGGGTATGACCGATCGGCAGGGGATGCTCACTCCTCCATGGCATATGATCCCACTTCTGATGTTTTTGAGGTTCGTGTTTGCCTTGTTCCTATTTAGTATTGTTTTATGGAATTTTGATCTTGAATGCTATTCGTTTTTAGCTCTACTGGTCAGAGACCAGAAGAGCTTATTCGATGGTAATGCCTCCATCGTCCGTCCGTCTGTCTAGCTGTCCGTCTGTCTGTAAACAATTTTACAAAATGCTACTCCTCCTAAAGTTTTGGCCTGATTTCAATATTACTTGACACACAAGTAGACTACACTAAGATACATAATTATTTTTTGATTTCGATGAAGGGTATTGCTGTTGTTCTGTGAATTATTTTCAAAATGTTACTACAAATACAGTATTAATCTGATTTTAATTTAATGTAGCATGCAAGTAGACTACACTGAGATACCTTAAATTATCAGTTTTGTGTCTTTGATTTTGATGAACAATATTACCAAGGTAGCTAGAATTAAAAATTCTGTAAAATTTTATTAAAAGCCTCTACTACATTATTGCAGTCTTGCAACAAAAAGAGACTTAATCAAGGATCTTTATTTTATTTTTTGAATTTATAATGTTTTATGTCCCAACTACTACTTTTCTTTGCCTTTATTATAACTACAAACCAGTAGAGCTACAGTCTCGACAGAGACTTCTGGTATTCCATATTACTTTTTAATTTCACTAGATAATTACCCGCGCAAGCGCGGGAAATTGAATTTATACATAGAACTTTACCATTTACAACAGAAAATTATATATTGTAGTTAGAATTTGTAGATTTTACTGACAGACTACAGGCTTACAGAGGGAAGAAATACTTCAAAAGTCCGCATGAAAGAAATATTAATGTACGTCACCATTCCCACCCACTTTGTGTGAAAACTTTGAAAATAAAAAATTCTTCAAGGTCAAGATCTAGTAAATGGAAGGTGCCTACAGATTTTTCAAATTTAAGAAATTAATTCCTTTCATGATGCTTTATAATATTAGCTTGGTTGAAATAGATGTTTCGGGGCATAATCTGCAGAAAAACAAAGCGAAAAACCATTTTTTTAAACTGTCATTTTCAATGAAAAATTAAGAAAACCAGTATTCAAAATGGGAGTTTTTTCCATATCAGACAAAGAAAATGTATCCAGATTGCCTACGGTTTTTCATAAAACGGTTACTTTTATGTTCGTGGTCTCTACTTTAAAATAATGTCAAATTTAAGATAGGTATCGGGACTTCTTTTCATGTGATTTCAAATTGAATTCCATAAGAATACTTTATTTTCTACATAATTCTGTTAGAGCCGTAAAGTACGGGAAAAAGAAAGTTAAAAGTGATTATGACGTCATAATGGATTTAGCACTGAAAAGTTATTCTAAAGTCATTTACTAGATCTTGACCTTAATTGACGTTTATGTCTTCAACATGTTCAAAACTTCATACAATGTTATGGATATTGCACTTCAAATGTTCTTATTTCATTTTCATGAAGGATAAAAGCAACGAATATACATAATATACATTATTGATTTTGGGGAGTTGGGGGAGGGGTAAAAATTCACAGGTACTTGGGTCTTGGTTTATAATTATATATGTACCCTTATTGATACATAAAAAGGCCTCCCCCCACTTTTTTCCCACCAATACTTTTACTATTGGAAATGTTCAGTGAAAGGCTGGTTGCCCCCCCCCCTATACATGTTATACTACAGGAAATTCATATAAGCTTAAGGGAAATGTAGTGTTGAATACCAAAAATTTGGTTCTGAAAGAAATTGGCATTGGAGGAAGACTTTTTTTTAGAGAGAAAAAAGCTGAAATATCTTATTTATATATATATATATATATATATATATATATATATATATATATATATATATATATATATATATATATATATATATATATAAGGAATAACTGTCTTAAATTCATGAAGTGATCAGTGGATTGGCTTGTGTGATAATTTGCATAAACGCCGAAGGCGTTTATGCATAAAATTATCACACAAGCCAATCCATTGATCATCTTCATGAATTTGAAAAATCTGACAGTTATTCCTTATATTTTGCTTTGATTCCGCCAATCCACGGGCTAGCCTGCTTCTCTCTAGGTGTTGTCCCGTCTTGCACGTGGTTTTTTTTGGAACCGCGCCAAAACATTCATGAGGAAATCAATTACATTTACAATTGATAATTTTATCTCGGACAAAGACATTGGAAATGTAAATATATATATATATATATATATATATATATATATATATATATATATATATATATATATATATATATATATATATGATTTCCATGAATTCACAGTGGTCGGTATAGTAAAAATAATTAAAAAGAAAACACGAAGACAACAAAGTAAAGCATTAGCGCTTTCATTTAAAAATGCTTTACAATCAAGTTTTTTAACTGTCACATAGTAACGCCTACATAATAATTAGCGAAAAACGTAACACAGTGATTATGACGTACGTAATTCTAGCCAGCAGTTATTAGGGGAAAGTCAAACAATGCTATTTAGCTTTGGTTTTAAAGTAGTAATAAAGTGTTTACTTTTTCTCTTCGTTGAATTTGGTTTCCAGACATCTTATAGAACGGGAAAACGGTAAATTGTCTCTTCCCGCATATATCTAAATGTTCACTAAGTTTAATTTGTCTGTATTGCGGGTTATTAATATGCTGTTTGTGGACTCTTATCCGAGCTCTCAGTGTAGTGCTAATTTCTCCGATTTAAAATTCGTTACAACCCGGGCATGTTATGACATAAATTAGGTTCTTAGTTTCACAGGACATGTCAGCATTTACAGTGAAATTTCGGCTCCGGAAGTCGTAGCTGGTTCCCTCCAAAATATAGTCGCAGGTACCGCATCTCGGGTCATTGCATTTTGTTACAGAACAATTCTTTTCCTTGAAACTGGATGTGCACAGAATTCTTTTTAAATTTTTAGCCTTGCGTTTGCTATTTATAAATTGAACATTTCAGTAAATTGTGTTTGTGTTCTCATCCTCCTTTAGTATCAGGTTTAATTGTTTTACCACTGGTGTTAGGTTTTGGTTCCGTGGATTGTGGGTATGAACAAAAGGTATAATTTGTTTTTCTTTCCGATTGTCACGTGTCGTAAGAAGTTGTGTTCTTTCATAAGACTTAGCCTTTTTTAAACCATCATTCACTAGTCATTTCTAATAGGGTATTTACGTTTCACAAGAAAGGATTTTAATTCCTCTAGTCGTAAATCCCTTGTGTTTTCCTCACTTACTATGGTGCAAACTCTTCTTGCCAGATTATATGGTATTGCGCTCTTAGTATGGTTTGGATGACATGAGCCGAAGTGTAAATACTGATGTGTATCGGTGGCTTTCAGTAGTTATCCTTGTGTTCTTTTTCTCCACTAACACATCAAGAAATGGTAACTTTTCTTCATTCATCTCTAAAGTGAATTGAATATTGGAGTTTAACCCGTTTAGTATTTTGTGAAATTGCGTTAATTTCTCCATGTCGCCGTGCCAAATAATGAAGCAATCGTCCAGGAATCTTTTCCAGTTTGTTTCTATCAAATCAGCAAATTCTTCTCCCCATACTTTAACAAGTTCACTTTTGAGTAACGTTTCAAGGTAGCCTAAAGTTAAGGTTGCATATGTTGGCGCTACCTTGGTACCCATTGCAGTGCCTTTGGTTTGGATGTAATGGTTTTCGGCAAATGCAAAAGAATTGTTATTAAGTACTAATTTCAATCCTTCCAAAATAAAATCATGTTGAAATCTGCTGTTGATCATATCCGGGTATTTTTCCATCCAAAACTTTACAGCCTGTATTCCTTTGTGTATAAGCTCACAACATCAAAGGTAACCAGTTTTGCATCTTTGTTGACATTACTGGGGAGGTGGTTTAGAAAGTCAAGATCATCTCTAGCATAGCTAGTTACCTTTTTACAGAGAGGTTTCAAGAGAATATCCAGTAATTGACTGATTCTCTGTGTAGGTGCATTAGGTCCTCCAACTATCGGTCTAAAACTCAGGTCTACTGGATCTGGCAGATGATGTATTCCTTGTTTTGATTTTTGATAGCTTCCTTTATTATAGAGGATTTATGCACTTTAGGAAGTCCATAAAATTGGCTTTCCCGGAAGTCGAAATTAACTAGATAGTCCTTCTCTTTTTCTGTTACGTCTGGGCATAGGGGTCCATGAATTAGACTTTTTATTTTCTTCATGGTTTGTCTATCATCATTTCCATGAATTTGTTTGTAAAAATTGTTATCCTGCAACATGTCCATAATTTTACTCTTGTAAAAATGGTTGTTCATAATAACAACTGCGCCCCCTTTGTCGGCCTCTTTGATCACAATATTTGGACCTGTTGAAAGATTTCTCAGTGCCTTTTCTTCCTCTTTAGAAAGATTTGCCTTTATGTGATGAAAATTCATAGGTAAAGAAATATTTTCA